CCGGAGGATGGTGCTCCTGCCTGCTGGGAGTGTGCTGTTTCTCTGAGGTCTCCTTGATCCTGGGCCTTTTAACCCAGCCCTTACTCCCCACTCCTGAGGCAGTATTCAGAATACGGAGAAGTCTGGCTCCCCTGCTCCTGCACAGAATATACATACTATAACTTTCGGTGTCGGTCAGTTTTAGAGTTTTGCTGTAACCAAAACCAGACAGAAGCATCTTCTGGGAGCGAGGATTTGTTTTTAGTCCATCGTGGTGGTGTACACTGAGATGAGAGAGCCCACATTGTGACAACCAGGAAGCAGGAAGAAAGCAGGTACCAGAGTTACCATACCCTCAAGGACCCACCCACTTTATCTGCTCCCTACCCCAGTCCCACCTCCTGTCTTCACCACATCCACGCACTGTGGTGCTATTGTGAGTCCATTAGGAGATTATGCTGGAGTCTTCCTGCTCTGGTAATCATCTCTGCAGATACCCTGGCATATACACAGAGACAGGCTTCATCGTCTCCTACTGGTTTCTCAGCCCAATCAGCAATCAAGATTAGGCATTACAGCCAAGCAGTGGTGGTGCACATCTTTAAACCCATCACTTGGGAGGCAGAGGCAGGTAGATCTGAGTTCAAGGCCAGCTTGAATGAGTTCCAGGACAGAGAAACCCTGTCTTGAAAAACCACACCAAACCACCACCACCACCACCACCACCACAAGGTATTACAATCCCAAATTCATACATTAAATTCTGATGACTCCTAGGGGAATGGCCTGGTGTGTGTGAGACATTTGGAAAACACAGGGAAAAGCGGAAGGTCAGTGATGTGTTGGGTGGGGCCACGTGCCGGTGAGTTGATGTGTTTTTTGCTGGACAGTTCTGGACAAACCTAGATGGGGCACAGTGTGACTCATCCGGTCAAATCTTCCCAAGGCTATGCTGCATAAAACCAGGAGTTGGGAGATGTGACAGTGTGGTTTTCCCAGATATCTCACCACAGTCACGTGTAATAAAAAGTCTAGAAGGGAAGCAGCACTGCTCACAGGAAGCCGAGAGCAAGGGTTCTCTAAGCAGTCTTCTCTTCTGATGGGAATTCTTTTAGCCACTGTGGAATCTGCAACCCTAGACTGTCTCAGCTTCCCAAGGATCTCTGAAGGGCTCTGGTCACCAAGGCCAAGGAATGTGGTGACCCTCTTCTGTTTTCCAGAGGAGGTTGGTACAGCATATTGATGCTGCTCAGAATAGAAATGGAAGGTTCTGGAACAATAAAATAAATCTGTCCCCCATCACCATCGGCAGGGCATAGGGGCAAGCTACAGCGTTGGGCACAGTTCTGTAACCGCTGGTGAGAACTCAAGCTTTCCTACATTTTGTCACCTTGTTCTTTGAAAGCCCCGAAGTTCACACATCCTCGTAGAGGTGGCTTGTGCAGGGCCACCTGATGGACTGCAAACCTAGACAGACGACCTCAGTCAAGGGCAGCATGAAGGGTCTTTTTTAGCTCTTCAGATGAGCAGGTAGCAGGTATTATAAACACACCATTTGCTCAGCTTGCCTGGTTCACCTTCTCCGGAGAACCTGTCAAGCATAGCCTTTACCCTTATGTCAGTACGCATATTTAGACAGTCACCTGCCTATTTAAAAGTCACGTTTATTCATCTTCTTTCTTACACACGCCACACAGCACGTATGGAGGTCAGGAGACAGCTTGTGGGAACCCGTTCTCCCCTTCCAACACGTGGGTCTGCAGGATCAAACTCAGGTCATCAGGCTTGGCAGCCAGTGCCTTTACCTGCTGAACCATCCTGCCAGCCCTCACTTGCCTGTTTTGGTTTTTAATGGTGGTTCTTTTTAGAATGTGATCATGGCTCATAAAATGGCGGTGATGCAAAGGACTTGATCCAGCTTACATAAGAAGATGTAAGTGAAGGTCCTGAATCACTGCTAATCCTGAAACTGTATGTTTCTTGGTAATGTAGTTAATTTTCTCCCAAACTGAGTTATCTGCCACCAGATGGAATTTTCTCCGGCCTCACTGTGGTGAGGGGCGTTTGCTTTCCTCTTGGGTGTTCACAAAGCCACAGCCTTCGACAACACTAAGGACAGCAAGAGACCCCATGGTTGCTGGTCACTCAAAGACTTTTGGCTGGAAGGAAAAACCTCAACTATGATAAAATACTATTAAAATATGAATTATACCATCTCTCAGGGGAAATTTAAGTAGTTGAAGAGCTTTCTTTTCTACTTGTACCCCACTCCCTGTTTCAAAGAAACACATGAAAATGAGAAAATAAACCATATTCTTTCCGATTAAACCTAGGAGAGATTAAACTTTGCCCCAGGTGAAAGAGCAGCACTCAGTGGATTTGAATTGTTTTTGTCCCCATGTCCCCTTCATTTGTTTCCCTCCTAAGTTGCAATGATTAATGTGTGACTTCAGCCCACACTAAGCACTTGGTCTGACAGGCTTGGCTCCTCCTCTTGGCCCAGCAGGTTCAGCTCTTTCTCAGTGTCATCATGTGCCTTGGGATGAGGATAGTGACAGAAGTCACCATGACCCACCTTGGCTCTGCTGGGATTTAGGGCAGATGCTCCCTGTCCATTCTATTGGCATCCACGCTTCTTCTAGTCAAGGCTCAGTATCTTGAGTGGTGAGCCCTGTGACAGACTTTCCCTTCCCAGCGTGTGTCTCTGTTCTGAAAAGCTCTGGGTGAGCGAGCTAACAGGGCAGTGGTAACTTCTCAGGTATGGGTGATTTTCTCGGAAGAATCCTGAGGTCTGCGCCTCTCTGCCCACCGCGTTGTCTCGGTGCGGCCTTCTCCAGCAGCTGTGGGCTTACAGTTCTAAGAATAAAGCTTAACGCGCTCGCGACGGAAGCCACATCTTACCGAAAGCCTCCTTAATGTTGGCTTAGATGGGAAATGGAATGGCCGCGCTAACCCGCCTCTAAAGCATTTCTAGTGCTCAGTCTCCATGAAATGGATTGCTTATGGGGAGATAATGTCTGTTCTATTCCTTTTTAAGTCTGTGAAAAATGTCATCCTGGTTAATAGGGTGATTAAAACCCTTTATGCTCCAGGAGATAAATGTGATTATGTTTGTCATACTCTACCCAAGATAAAGACAGCAAAGAAGCCATACGTGAAATTCCACAACACTTCCTCTCTTCCGTATCCGGGGACATTCAGGGCTCATACACAGATGGCTCCTCACATAAAGAATAACATTATCTCTTAAACATTTTTCCTTCCCATTAACCAATTTAACAATATGCCTCTGGTATGAAAGAAACAGACAAACGACTAAATCCTCTGGCTTCTGAATCCTGCGGGAAACACTTTAGTGATGTCACTCGCTTGTTCTTGGAGTTTTCATCTGTTACTCTGGCTTTGAAGAGGCAGTTGGGGCCTGTGCTTTCCTCTTCTTGGAAAGCTGCCCCTGTCAACAGGTGACTCAAGGTATTCCTGTGGGGATACGAAGTGTAGGGACCGGGCTTCGACACTGGCACGCCACAGAAGCAAGTATTCTGTCATCCCTTTGACACGCTCCTTCAGGGCCAGTGTGGCCCCTGGCTCCTTCCTGGGGCGTGGCTGCCATCTCCAGCCACGTGGTGTCCCATTTACAAGGCCCTACCCTCAAGGAGATTCTCAGTCAGGACTCTGGCAGAGAGAATCAGCGTTAATAATGGTTTCTCTTTTTTGTCTCTTCAGCGAATACAGGGATTCTCATTTTCTCCTACCCAGTGGAGGTCTTTCAAAAATCATTAGGCAGAAAGGCATGAAGGGCTGTAGACAGTGCCCACTCTGCACACCCATTTAACCTGGCTCCTACCTTTCCTTCTCTGCGTTTAAAGGCCAGGAATTATTTTTTTCTCCCCAGCGTACTGGTTAAAAATAAAAGATGGGTAAAGATTTTTTTTTTTCTCCCACTCCACACTTGCTGATCAAGCTCACAATCTTTTCTTGGATTTTTAGCAGGTTACATGTGAATCTCAGACACCGATTACACCTGTTTAATTAACAATACAGCAATCTTAACAGGGCAATGTGGTCTAGAGAAAAATGTTACATTATGCACTTGACATTTCATTTAGAGTTCCTTTAGAACTAAAGGTTTCCCTGTAACAGATTTTGAATGCACTTTATGGAACATGATTGCTGACTAATTAGGGCCTAGGTAATTCTGAAGGAACTACACCTGACATTCAACCAGAGGGCTTTCTCTAGACGTACTGACACACTGAAGCCTTTTCTTTATGTGCACAATCACCTCCCCTCAGCTTCCTGTAAGGGATCGTGGAGCACACAAGAGGATGGGTTCATCGGAATTAACTTCCTGGAGAAAGGCACCAAATACTTAATACTGAGGCCCAGTGCTCAGGTGACTCGGGTTAAAACTGTTGCAGATGGGCACCAATTCTACTGTATTTACCTTCACCACTGAGCTGAAACTACAAATTGTCAGAGTCCAGAGACGCAGAGCCAATTCCTCAACAAGAGCGTTTTAGAGCCACGATATAACCATGACGTCTCAGCACAATCGCTGTCTTCTGCGTCATCGGCATCCGCTGCTGGCTTTTTGTCCCGTGGTAAGAGTTTACAAGTCCTTCAGGAGAGGCCCTTAGCACGTGTGTGCTAGCTTTGAATCAGACTGTGTTCAGGACAAGCTGCATCCGTTCCCAGTACTGGATTTGCCAACCCAGAGCCTGGCCAATAGGAACATACCTTCCAAATTTTTAGTCATATGAGATCAGATAGGCCTTAAAACTCATTAATTAGATACACTGAGGTCTGTACTGCTGTTAGGAGTCTGCTTATAATGATTTTTTTTCTTATTAAAATGTTTTTTTTTTTTGAGAATCTCATGTATGGGTACTGTATTTACATCATTTAAACCCCTCTCTCTCCCCATTCCAACTCCTTCAGTGTCCACCCTTGCTCACCTTCGAACTCACGACCTCTTCTGTTATTGTTACACACATACATAGGTGTATACACACACAACCTACTGAGCTTTTTAAAAAGGTTTAATTTTACTTTTTCATTGTGTAGATGTGTGTGGGTGTGTTCACACGTGAGTCAGGTGCCCACAGAGTCCAGAAGAGGATGTTAGATGCCTGGAGCTGGAGCTGGAGCTGCAGGTGGTTTGAGCCACCCGAAGTGGGTGCTGGGAAATGAACTGGGGTCCTCTGCAAGAGCAGTGTGTGCTCTTAACCACGGGGATCTCTCCAGCCCTTGTGAAGATTTTCTATCTTACTTTTTTTGTGAGTATGAAACATGGTTTATTGTTCTAAACAGGAATATTTCCTCTGGGACCCCTCCTTGAGGGGTCTTAGCTTTAGGAAAACATTCCCTCCCTGTACCATAGACATGGACACAGATGGCTATAGCTGTGGCCCCTGGGCTGACCGGCCATCTGCACGTGTTCCTGGAGCGGAGTCACCCCAGTCCCTTTTCTCATGTGGTGTTCCCAGAGCTGCCATTCCTGCACCAGCTCCTCTGGAGTCATCCACACCCATCTCACTTAGAGCTGAGTGCCTCCTCCCACGTAGCGGCTGACTCGGAGTTCTTGGGAATTGCTGGAAATATGGATTGCATCTTACTTCGAAAGTCCTTCATCTGGAAGAGAAAAAACATCAAATGTCAGAAGGGAGGACTAGCTGAGGCTCTCGGAGTGGAGAGCACCCCACCATCCCTCATGAGTGCAGAGCAAAGGACAGCAGAGAAACTGAGACCTGCATTCAGCACCACAGTGGAACAGCTGTTCTTCCAAGTGTGGATCCGCTAACCAAACAACAGACAACTTCCCTCCTGTCTAGAAGGCAACAGGTCTAAATCCACAGACTCCCAAGATGCGTATCTACAACGGGATGCATGGTGGCTTTCATTTATAGAGATGCATCGGGCAATACAATTTCTGTCCTTCTAAATACATGATTATACTCAATCCATTCAAAGTCAGAAGTTTAGAGCTAGAGGGCAAGTAGAAAAAACTAATGACAGATATACTAGAATATTCTCATGTGCCAGTGTACAGAAGCCCACATTGAGATCTTATCAGTGAAAGGTGACTTAAGCCAGAGTCAAGAAGGGGTCTGGGAGGTCACACCATCGAGTGCAGACCCGTGTGGAGGGCATCACTGATCTGTGGACGGGACAGTCTCCTTGGGTGCACACTCCAAGCCCTCCTTTCCATGTATATGACCCTGGCACACAGAGCTATCTCAGTAGCTGTACATGGTCCAGGCTGACCCCATCAGCCACACCCCATTCATTTTCCTTTGGACGTAGGTGCTGAGCAGGTTCCCAAAGCTCCCAGGACTCCACAGCAACCAATCATTTCTGGCGGAGGCTATTGGAGATACAGGTAATTTTTCTTTTCTTTTTTTTTTTTTTTTTGCTGTTGATATGTATTTATTTCAAAAGGAGGCTAAATCTTTACCCTGTTGCCAAATTCAGGGGTTACATCATTTTCAGTATTTGTAAATTCTAGGCTGGTATCCAGCCTCCATAGCATACACTTGGTAACGCAGACTGCGGTTGGAGAGACCACTCTCCAATCCCAGCCCCGGCCCATTTCCTCACCAGCATCCACATAGGCCGAAAGGAGATATTCATTACCTGTCTGAAGACTTGTGAGGACAAACTGGGGCAGTGCACACAGAGTGCAGCCCCAGCTCACAGTAAGTACTCATTCTGTGAAGGCCACCACCACTGCAGCATTATCCAAATGTGTGTGCTGTGTTCCAAAACACAAAGCTCCCGTGGATGTAAACATCCTGGCATGTTGACTAAAAGCATGGCTTTATAGTTACAGACCATTTGGTGTGACTATCCTCACTATTTTAGGGAGTCTGTAGGAGGCCAACCGTCTGGATGCTCTAGACCCATTTGCTAATCTTCTAATCTTTGCACACCTAGGCAAACCCTCCCTGTGAGCCCTCAAAGCACCACATTTCCTAGTTCTCGTCTTGTGTTAGGCAAATGTGATCACCACTGCTCATAGACACCAGCCAGATGCTAATCTTGAATAGACACAAAGGCATTGTCTCTCCCTGCTGTGAGTCGGCATGAGGGGCTCTCCACGAGCACCAGAGGCAGTGCTGTGCATCCCTGGAGAGGGACTAGAACACAGGAGAGGTCTCTTTTGTGGTCATGGTTGCTGTGACTACCATAGGCAAATTAGTGGCAGGGATAATACTGATGCTGAATATCCAAGATTCACAGAACTGCATGTCAAAAATGCCAATCACAACCTATTAAGGAACTTTGCATAGACGTTTAGAATTGAAAACCCAGGGCCTCTCTGGCCATGGTTTGCAGTATGCTGTTCCTTGCCTTTCTGGCTGACGTCTTTTACAACTTATGTTGCGTTGGACTGTCCAGCATTAAAGTACAAGCACAACTGTCTTCCACAGCCCCTCATCAGTGGTGCTTGTTGTGGTCGCTGCTCTATCCCCCACCCCTGACCTCATCGTCTGTCTTTCAGTCCTCAAGTACTGTGCTACTCTTCGTTCCTGTGGGCATAAGTGTGCTGCTAGGACTCATACCCAGAAAGCAACCAGCCAGTAGTAGTCAGGCTTCAGACTGAGATGTGGGACATCTCAGATGTGGACACTGAGGACAGGGGATAAAGGACACCACTGAGCCCTGGGCCTTCAAGCTGTGGGGATGGAAACCCAGAGTCCATATTTATGTAATAAACGGGCTCTCAAGTTGCTTCAAAGATGGGGCTCCATGGGGTTTCAAGCTTGTATTATTCATATGGGCAGTATCTATAGATCAAGTATGTATCAGTGAAGGTCATACAAAGGTCAATGGGTTATTCCCCTGTTTAAAGATGCCCTTGAAAAAAGATTTAAAGATTGAGTATAATTAAGTTTAATCTGGACCTAAATATAAATCCACAGCTGCTGCCATGGCACTTTCCCTCTGCCCCCGGAATCTGATGAATGTGAGTATTCTGGTCACATGACTCCAAAGCAAAACTCTGGGTTTCCCTCCCTGTAGTTTGCTCTTCCCTTGTGGCTTTGACCAGGGAGAATTTTTTTTTCATGCTAGGGGTTGCAGGGTCACCCTTATAGGCGGGGCCTCTGTGGGCAGCCACAGGCTGGTTCCTGCAAACTTCAGGGGGTGCTCTGGGCAGGGGTTAAGGTAGGAATGGTATTCCCTGGAGGGAGACGTCTACTGCTTCTGGAACCTTGTTCTGAAATCCCACTGTCCTCATGTCAACTGGGAAAGTCATTACAAGTAATTTAATCAGTCAGGGAACTGGGTCTGACCGACATTTTAGATGTTAGAAGGGAGCCAAGATTATGCCTCTAATAATGCTCTCATTCCTGTTCCAGTAGCTTCCGCAGGGCTGTGACCAGTGTGCCAGGAGCGAGAACACCGGCAGCGTGGCTTAGAGTCTGCACTGGGTGCTGGCATATTTATCACTTACCTCTCAACAGTGAGTGGGGCAGGTGCTATCCCCCTCTAAAGACAGCGATGGAAGCTTCCAGCAACCAGACAAGTGTGTCATCCGGCCAGGGAGGCAAGTCTGACTGCATGACCGTGTTTGCACTCTGGACACTGCATGCATGTGCACATGGGTGCTGCCCCACACTGCCATGGCATGTCTGGGTTGTGGAAGAAGAAACTGAAAACCATCTTGTCTAATACATTATATATTGAAAAATTGCTTAAAATATATCCGGTTATCTCTAATCTCACAAAGCCCAAAGAATCAGTTCTAACAGGCAGGCAGTTGTTGGCACTAAAGCTGAGTTTGAAATGTATGTCGTCTTCATTGACAGCCCGTTCAGCTTCTGTTCCCACACTGTGGGTTCAGGAGTATCTGGCCTCATTAGAAGCTCTACTAAGAGAAAAACCCATGGGTATGTCGGTGGTGAGGGGCCAGTGGTGATTTAAGAATCTGGTAATGGTATTCTGCATAAATAGAACAGGATCACTTGATGCTAACAGCAGGAGTTAAGAAGCAGAGCAAGGCTGTGGAAGTGTTTTCTGAACGGCAATAGTATCTTCCCTTCAGGCTTGGCGATGTGTTGGGTACCAAAGCTTTGGGCGGTTAATCTTCACAATTCTATATGGCAGAAATGGTGGCTACAACCCAACATATGAGAAAACAGAGGTCAGAGGTTAGTTAATTTGCTTATTAAGTGACATGACTTGAAGGTATGACTGCCTAACTGACACCCAGGACTCTCCCTATGGCCACTCTGGTTCTGTGGACTAGAAAACAAAGTGCCTCTAAGCTTTTTACCCTGTGCTGGCTTTCACTGAAAATGATTTAAAACCATGAAAACACACCTGGACATTTTAGTTTGGATGGTATGAGAGGCACATTACTAGTGTTCACACATGGTCAGTACAATCCACTTTTACAGATGGGGCTCATCAATGGTCAGCACCACCCACTTCTGCAGATGGGGTTCACCAATGGTCAGCACCACTCACTTCAGCAGATGGGATTCGCCAATGGTCAGTACCATCCGCTTCTATAGATGGGGTTCACCAATGGTCAGCACCACCCATTTCTACAGATGGCGTTCACCAATGGTCAATACCACCCACTTCTGCAGATGGGGTTCACTAATGGTCAGCACCACCCACTTCTGCAGATGGGGTTCCCCAATGGTCAGCACCATCCGCTTCAGCAGATGGGGTTCCCCAATGGTCAGCACCACCCCTTCTGCAGATGGGGATTATACTTCTTCACCTCCTGGAAGTTAGGCAGCCATGTGACTCGTGAGTGTGGATAAAAGAAACATGTCACATCTAGGCATTTAACTGCAGAAGCTCAACTCTCTAGGGCTCTCTTTTTATTGAAATCTTGGAATCCTGTGTGGCTATGGTGGGGCCTCAGGGACAAGCTGAAGTACAGTTAGGGGAGCCTCCCAAGAGACCAGCTTGAATCTGTATGGGTCCTGCAGGAGTGGAAACTAACTTCTGTCAAGGCGGAGTTAGATGATGTGTTCTGTATATGTGTGTGCACAAGTGTATGCATGCATGTGGACGGAGGCCAGGGCCAACCTCAGGGGTTCCACCTTGTTTTTTTGAGGCAGGGTCTCTTACCAGGACCCAAGGCTTTCTGGGTAGGAAAGGTGAATGGCCAGGGAGTCCCAGAGGTCTACCTGTCTCTGCATTCCCAGTGCTAGGAATTCTGGGGATTGAACTCAGGTCCTCATGCGTATATGGCAGAGCACTTCCTGGTATCACCCCAGTGCTGAGATTACACCACAACTCAGTCTGTGCTGGCTGAATCAGGAAAGGAGCTCCTGACACAGGCCTCTCTAGGGCCCGCCACATGGATTTGCCTGAAAGAAGGCTAAAGAAGCGCTCAGGGCTGGATGAGGGGAAACAGATGCCCTGCTAATGAGCTCCCCAAGCTGCAAACTCTCCACCACCTGAACCACAGCGTTCCCACAGTCAGGGGACTCGGCCCCTCACTCAGTCCAGGTTTATGTCACCAATTCCTGGGGAATCAGAACATTTCTTCATCTTTTCAATGAATAAGTATAAGGAAGGGCCGTTACACACACACACACACACACACACACACACACACACACACACACACACACACACGTTTGAATGGGAAGATTGCTGTCTGGTGTCTATTTGGTAATATTGATTAATCAGCATTGGCCTGGCCCAGAGAGCAGGCGCTGACAGGCTGTTGATGCAAGGATCCAGAGATGGGGTGTCTAGACAGCGTTACTTCAATGTTCAGGGGCGTTAGGGGGGCTGACGTGACACTTGTGACATTTCTGTAATTAGTATTCTTTATGTAAAGGGCAGAGCAGTATCTTTGCTTTCTCCTAAACCATTCCGCATCACGTCCATGAAGTCCAAAATGTGCAGTCAAGGCAACTGATTCAGGAATAAAAAGTGAACACGTAACTTTCTGAAACATACGATCCCTTCAGTGCTGATTAAAACGGTTGGGTCTTAGGCTGTGATTCAACAATAGGACACAATCCAAAAGTGTTCCTTTTCTCGTCATGTGAGATGAACTGAGCAGCAGGGCCACTCTCTCAAGCCAAGGCCCACTTTATGACAAAGACCCAGCCTAGCGAGAACATTGATAACCTGTATTTTGATTTCACGTAACAGGTTCAAAGGCAGTTAGTTCCAGAAGGCTGTCCCCAAACCAGGCTTCATTTCTCCTAACTGCGATCTTAGAGGGGCTTCATGCCCTTTACCAAACTAGGGGCAGCTCCGCATCACCTCTGCCAGCCAGTTCTTCCTGCGGTCTGACCATCATGGCTTTCCTGTTAAGTCCACTTTATAAGAGTAATGGATCAATTCTCTCCCTTTCTTTCCTTCTCTCCTCCCTTGCCCCTCCTTACCTCTCTTTTCTCTCCCCCTACTCTAGAAGCAGCTGCACCCCCATTTCATGATGTCTTTAAAAACACGTGTACAATGTGTGGCTTGCATGTATGTACAGTACCATGTGGGAGCTGGGAACTGAACCTGGGTCCCTGCAGCAAGCGCCACCCTTCCTGTCCCCTTCATAATGTCTTAATGACTCAGATGGGCTATTCCAAGACAACAAAGGCAGTTCCAAAATGTATCACAGAAAATGTTGTATATTTTTATTTTTAAATGCAGGAGTTAATTTTTTTCTAAGATTTATTTATTTTATGTATATGCGTGTTCTATCTGTATGTATGCTTTTAAGTCAGAAGAGGGCATCAGATCCCAACTATAGATGGCTGTGAACCATCACATGGGTGCTGGGAAATTGAACCCAGGACCTCTGGAAGAGCAGCCTGTGCTCTTAACCACTGAGCTATCTCTCCAGCCCACAGGAGTTACTTTTTAAAATGGTATAGGAGTGAACATAAATATAAGCCAACCAGAACGGACTAGTACAGGTTCACGTTCTAATGAAAGTTATCAATTTCTTGACCACCACACCACCAGGCAAGAACCAGTACTCCAAACAACAAAAATACCTTTAATGCAGTCACTCGGAAACTGAAAAGGTAAAGTCACCCCGCAGCTGGATGCCACACAACAGGAGACCACAAAGGAGACCTCCAACTTTCAGAACCCCCAGTTCACCCCACATCGGCATATACTGCATCTTTGTCTTTGGTATCTTTAGAAGGATGGCTTAAAACTTGATATCTTTCTGAATTTTCCAAAGCGTATCTGCACTCTTTACCATCTGGGCCTCCTCTGCAGAGCTCAACTTTACTTTTATAATATCTGAGATGCCGTTTTCCCCCATGATACAAGGCACACTGAGAAACACCTCTTCTTTGATTCCGTATAAACCTTTAACATTGGTGGAAACTGGATGCGTTTTCCTGAGGTTCCTCAGAATGCTTTCTGCAATATCAGCTACAGACAGGCCAATGGCCCAGGAAGTATAGCCTTTCATTTTGATAATTTTATAGGCACTGGCAATCACATCTTTGTGGACATTTCCCCACTGCTCGGGGTCTTTGCTAGTTCCTAGCTCTGAATTCAGCTCTTTCAGAGGCACACCGGCGATGTTCACTCCACTCCACACGGGGACACTTGAGTCTCCATGCTCTCCAAGGACCCACCCGTGGCAGCTTTCAGAGTGGATGCCAAGCCTCTCCCCAAGCATGAAACGGAAGCGAGCAGTGTCAAGGTTACAACCACTTCCAATAATACGGTTTTTGGGAAACCCGCTCAGTTTCCAGGTTACGTATGTTAAGATATCCACTGGATTGGAAACAATAATCAGTTTGCAGTGGGGGCTATGCTTGACAATATTGGCAATCATCACCTTAAAGATGGACACGTTTCGCTGGACTAAATTCAGGCGCGTTTCGTCTTTGGCCTGGCGTGCACCTGCTGTGACAATAACTACCTCAGAGTTGGCAGTGACATGGAAATCTTTGCTGCAGACAATCTTTGGCATTCTCATGAAGACACTGCCATGCTGGAGATCCATCGTCTCGCCCTTCATTTTTGCTTCATCACTGTCAACAAGGGCAAGCTCATCGGCCAGGCCTTTTGCTATAATGCTGATGGCACAGGCCATTCCGACTGATCCAGTTCCTATAATGGAGACCTTGTTGTGGAGAACGGGCTCTTCGGAGCTGATGTGCTTGATAAGTTTACCCTTCACGGTCGACATGGTAGACGTGGGAGTGGCGTTCCACCAGGCCCGGTTGAGGGGGGCACCCAGCACCCGACTGGGCCACAGAGTTATGCCCTGGTCCCTGAAATCCACTCTGGCTGCACCCACTCTTTTGCTGGCTCGCAGGATGCCCGCAGCCCAGGCCATGGCGGCTCACTCGGGTGGAGGAAGTGAACCGGGTGAGGAAGACAGTTGAGGCCCAACGGTCGGTCGCCACGCAGGACAGGCGCAGCCCCTCCTCCCACTGCGGCTGCGCGTGGGTTCAGCGCAGGCTGGGTCTTCCGGCTCCAGCAACTGCAAGTCTGCACCGAGGCTTAAAAAGGGCTTTCACCCCAGCAAGGAAATACTGGAGTTAGTTCTACAACCCATATTCTTTAATGTTGATGTATAACACCCAACCCAGACCCCTGGAATTAATTGTTTTCTGATCTTAGTGCGTATATCAAAATGGTTCTGGCAACAACCTTGAGCCACAACAAAGGTGGCTGTGCTGTCTACCAAGAGACAGCATGGCGGGATAAACAGGCTCCTTGTTCAGCGTATCCAGCTGGAGGACCTCTTGTTTAGGGATTACATACATGGTTAGCCTGTATCCTAACCATGGTGCACTCCTGGACACGGCGGCAAGAGGGAGGGGCAGGAGTGTTAGCAGTAGAAGCCGGACCGCAAGAGCATGCTCCTTCATTCTCCTGCCAAAGGAGAGCCCGTGATTGAGGACAAATGAAAAAGCACAAAAAAGAACTCGGTGGTGAAGAGCACACAATGCTCCTGCAGAGGACCCAGGTTGGGGTCTCCATACCCACACCAGGTGGCTTAACTGCCTTAAACTCCAGTTGCAGGGACACCTGCCTCTGTGGGCACCTAGTCCACTTGGCGAATATAAACTCACTCAGGCACACACACACTCACATAAACAGATTTTAAAAAAAAAAAAAACAAGCAACAAAAACCAAAACCAAAATCTTTCCCAAGCCCTGCAGTTTCTTCAGGAGAAAGATGGCCCTGTAGCCCTCCACTAAAATGAAGGTGTCTTTGAAATGACCTTAGAACGGCAGATTAACTTTTAGCCAATGTATAAATTAGATTATTGACTAAAGTAGTGAAATGCAATTACTTTGCAAACCTGGCATTGGTATATCTCTTCTGTGTTTTTCTGGACAGTCTTGTGAACTAATTTCCAATCTCCGAGGAGATGCAAACATTACATTTTATGACAAACCTAATAAACTACAAATGCCCAGTAAATACAATGGCATTTTCTTGCCACCAATCAATTCTGACCATGTGGTGAACGCTCAGAGCACTTCCTCTTGGGATACAGCAATATGCTCCCCCAGAATGAGGGTCCCTTTCATCATCGGCACTTTTTTAATTTTAGGACACTGAGCCCTGGCAAAATTAATATTTTATAGTCAGTCTCAAAGAGTGCCTCTCTGGATGCAGTGCAGGAAAGCAGGTGCCCGGCGGAGGAGCTGGGAAGTGGGAGTCAGTGGAGCTCCTCAGTCTGTGACTTGCTGATGGTGTTTCCATGTTTCCAAGCCAAGAGGGCTTCCTAGAGGAAGCAGAGCCACTGGGACACAACAGTCTAAGACAGACAGATGGATTCTCTGCACACTGGCAATCAGATTTATGGCAGCAAGCTGTCAAATTAAAAACTGGAATTTAAAAAACAGCCATCTTTATTAAATGGTGGCCACCATTTTAGGAGGCCCCTTTAAAATGGTCCATAAACTATCACTGATAGCTGTAATTTCTTTCAGCCCACTTTTGACTGGAAATATTTAGCCTGACAACTGTTTCCACCTTCTTTCTGTAATGATTCCTTTGACCAGTCAAGTTGTTTTCCAGGATGAGTGCTCTTGAGTTTGAGATTCAAGGACATAAAGGCTCTTAGCTGGACAGCGTCTATCGACAGTTATTTTCTTTCCAGAAATTGAGCCTCTTCAGAAATACAATCTTGATGGCAGCCGGCGCTTCAGTCTTTCCCCTCAGTCACAACTAAATCAACTGTGAGAGGGAAAAACGACAACATTCCAAAATAAAGAATCCCCCAAAGCAGTTTTTTATTTATGTAAGTCTTAAGAAGGCAAGCATAAAGACAGGCAGATGTTCATCACCTTCTGAGAAGACGGAGGGATACTCAAGGGTGTGCAAAGTCAAACACAGCCAGACAACTCCCAATGGCTTTCTATCCTATGTGAATCATTATTCCTTTCAACTGAAGACCCAATTCAAATTAGCTATTAAAAATGAAGCTGGGCAGTGGTGAATGCTTGTAATCCCAGCACTCGGGAGGCAGAGGCAGGCGGATCTCTCTGAGTTTGAGGCCAGCCTGGTCTACAGAGTGAGTTCCAGGACAGGCTCCAAAGCTACACAGAGAAAACCTGTCCTGAAAAAAAAAAACAAAAAAGTAATGTAATATTACAGTTGAGGCAGGATGTTTTTTGTTACATCACTTAAGAGAGAGGAAGCTGGAACTCAGGACCACCAGCAAGTATCTAGAGCAGTAGTTCTAACCTTCCCAATGCTGACCCTTTAATACAGTTCTTCATGTTGTGGTGACCCCCCAACCATAAAATGATTTCTTTTTTTTTTTTTTTTTGGTTTTTCAAGACAGGGTTTCTCTGTGTAGCTTTGCGCCTTTCCTGGAACTCACTTGGTAGCCCAGGCTGGCCTTGAACTCACAGAGATCCGCCTGGCTCTGCCTCCCGAGTGCTGGGATTAAAGGCGTGTGCCACCACCGCCCGGCCATAAAATGATTTCATTGCTACTTTATAATTATAATTTTGCTACTATTATGTATCCTAATGTAAATATCTGATATGCAGGTTATGATACATGTGACCCCAAAGGGGTCGTGACCCATGGGTTGAGAACCACTCATCTGGACTGATGACAACTGCCCCAAGTCATTGGATATTCACTCCACCTGGACTCCCTACCACTGCTAGCCTTGCAGCTTTCTCTTCTTTCTCTTTCTTAGGAGTCCAGTCCATGCCATCCGATTGCAGATCTCCGTCAACCCTCTAGGCAAAACTAGTCCCCACTGTGCTCTGTAGCCCATTATGGGATCTGTTACAAACAGTTAAGTGTAAAACAGTCCAGATGTGCCAGAGAGCGGTCACCCCATTTATCAGCACTCGTGTCCTCTAGAACATATCTGGGCACAGGGACAGGGACCCAGTAGGTGCTTATGGAGGAGAAGGGCCAATAAGTAACCCCAGACCTGAGTTAGGATAGCTGGAGGGCTGAGGTGAGTGGCAGAGAAGGCCAGGCCTTCCTGGTGCTGGAATTCTCAGGGCAGAGGTGGGTAGGTGAGGCCCCTTAGGTCCTGTCTGGAAGGCTAATGAAGAAATTCCAAAGAAAGCTATGGGTTGGCTAAGGGATGTCGTAACTATTTTCTCAGCTAGGCCTTTCTCAAGCTTTCGCCACACTAACTCAAGGCAGCAGCAGCAGCACCCACAGTGCTGGAAGTGCGGCGGACCAGAGTGTGGTGGCGGAGAGGGTTTTAATCCTTCAGAACCCTAACATCTGGGAACGCGACAATAACCAGCAGAGGAGATCCTCGATAAGGAACAAAGGGATGCTCAAACGGCAGGGCCAGCACCACAGCTAACCTGGAGGTGGCTGCACGGCCACTCCGGCAAGGAGGTGCTCCCTGTAGGACACAAGCAAGGAGGGTGCTCCCTGTAGAACACAAGCTAGGAGAGTGCTCCCTGTAGAACACAAGCAAGGAGGGTGCTCCCTGTAGAACACAAGCTAGGAGGGTGCTCCCTGTAGAACACAAGCAAGGAGGGTGCTCCCTGTAGATAAGCTAGGAGAGTGCTCCCTGTAGAACACAAGCAAGGAGGGTGCTCCCTGTAGATAAGCTAGGAGAGTGCTCCCTGTAGAACACAAGCTAGGAGAGTGCTCCCTGTAGAACACAAGCAAGGAGGGTGCTCCCTGTAGAACACAAGCAAGGAGGTGCTCCCTGTAGAACACAAGCTAGGAGAGTGCTCCCTGTAGAACACAAGCAAGGAGGGTGCTCCCTGTAGAACACAAGCAAGGAGGTGCTCCCTGTAGAACACAAGCTAGGAGAGTGCTCCCTGTAGGACACAAGCAAGGAGGTGCTCCCTGTAGGACACAAGCTAGGAGAGTGCTCCCTGTAGGACACAAGCAAGGAGGTGCTCCCTGTAGGACACAAGCTAGGAGAGTGCTCCCTGTAGGACACAAGCAAGGAGGTGCTCCCTGTAGGACACAAGGGAAGTTTGTGATTTGAAAACCTAACATGAAAACTAGTTTTTAAAGTTGCTTTCCAAGTAGAACACAGGTATAGGTAGAAGATCCACCCAAAAAGCACTCAGAGGACTCTGTTTAAGGATTAAATCCTGAACAATGAACCGGCCACTCTTCTGATAAATTCTCCAAATCACATATTTGTATTATCATATTCATAACTGCCGAGTCAGTGTGAAAGAATGATTCAGATTAACCGCTAAAAGGAACGGGCTTTATTATTACTAGTGTCTGATTTGTATACTATTGTATATTCCTGTGTACGGGGTCATGGAAACGTTCCTGAGGACAAGGGTGGAGAGGGACAAGGTAAGAAGGCCGCGCTACTGCACCGAAGACGCACTGAAGAGCAGCAGGTGGGGGCGGGCAGGCGGGCGGGCGACCGCGGTGGGACTGGATGTGGTCAGGGAGTGAGTGGGGCTCCATCAAGTAGACCTTGTAACAGGAAGCCATAAAAAGGTTAAAACGAAGCATCATCCATCCGACTTACATTTTAAAAATATCTCTGGCTGCCACGTGGGAAAAACAATCTCGGGGAAATGAAGGTGAGGCTGGGAGACTAGACAGGAAACTCCATGTGCAAGCCAAAGATGAGCGCAGGCTACGAGGCGTGGTGGGGCGCGGCCGTGGGGCGCGGCCGAGGCGTGGTAGGGCTCGGCCGTGGGGCGCGGCCGTGGGGCTGTCGAGCAGGACGGCTCTTGGGTTAGAAGAGCCATCCCCCTGGGCTTTAGACTTGCACTGGGGATGAGATGAGGAAGGCGTCTCCTTGATGGGGAAGATCAGGGAAGAACACGAGAGAATCAAGGGTCCTGGCTGGTGTGTGTTGTCACCAAACACATTATGAGACAAGAGGGTGAAGATGGTCAGCATGCATCTTGGAGGCAAGTCTGAAGGGCTGGAGTTATGTGTCTGGAAATCACTCGATGGAGAGATTGATTTAAATGCCAGAGTCTAAATGGGAGAGCTAAGCAAGTAAGGGGAGACAGCTCGGAAGATCTGGGTGAGAAGCCGTCGGTCACTCTGACAGCAGAGACAAGCCAGAGGGCTGTTCCTCGGAAAAGAAGCTCAGTTGTGTCACAGGTGTGGGGGACTGGAGACAGTAATCACAGGCAACTTTCTGGAGAAACAGTTCTATTGGAGATGCAGACAAGTGAGCTTCCATCCTGAGGAGAGTAAGGACTATCAGAAGAGGGGATTTCAGAGGTGGAGCATTTCTGTATGCTACAGCAGAAAGAGGACCAGCGAAGGCCAGGGACCCTGGTGATAGTCTTTGGGCAGATGACCTGGTGGCATCGGTCACTTACTGCCCAAACAGCTGGGTCAGGTCTTCAGCAGCAACAGGGCTAGTTCGTCCCTGGTAATGTGGTCCAGACACAGGCAGAAAGCTCAAGCATCCTGTAGCACAAGGCTGCAGCAGGGAAAGAGAGCAGAAGCCATTGTGACTCTCCTATGGGAAGACGTAGCCCACAGGAAATGGCTGTGCAGTGGAGGACAGGTAAGATTTGGGGAACGGTAAAACATGGTGAGATGTAATTATGAAAGGCAATCTGGCTTTCCTTCCGGGCAGCTCTGTGGATGCTGCCATTCAGAGGGAGTGTGACTGACATGTAGGGTGCAGGTTGGGAATGAATGACAGGTCAGTGGGGAGGAAGCACACATGGTTCCTACAGTGTATCTGAGTCCAGTGGGTCCCTGAGCCTGAAGCACAGGGTGGGAGTAAGGTCACCCAGTGCCAGAACCTGAAGAAGAAAAGATGAAGGCCGAGGACAGGGCTGTAAGCACCACTGTGTATTGAGTACAGCTGTACCATGCAGACACGAACAGAACTGCCAGTAAGAGCCAAGCTAGAACCAAGAGAAGGAGGAGGAAACAATAAAAGCCAGAACCTTTTAACAGTGCAAACAATAAGTGACATCAACCATCAAGAGAAGGTTGTCAGTGCAGCCCAAGTCACAGAATGAAAAACTACACAGCACATGAAAAATTAGCTCAGGCTGGCCTTAAAACTAGAGACTCACGTTCTGGGATTATAGCAATGTGTAATGTCACCAAGCTTAGCATACAAACAGCTAAATAAGAAATGGCCCGGTCAGTCAAGTGTGTGCTGCACAAACATGAGGAGCTCAGTTTGGTCCTAGCACCCAGGTAAAAAGCTGGTGCGGTAGGGTGCACCTCAAGTCCCAGGCCTGGGGACGGTATCGGTGGTCTTCCGGCCAGTCTAGCCAAATTAGTAAACTTCCGGCCGAATGAGAGACCCTGATTCAAAAAACAAGAAAAGATGGAGAGTGATTGAAGATTTCTAACACTGACCTTTGGACACACACACACACACACACACACACACACACACACACACACACGAGTTTTTTTGTTTTTTTTTAAGTATTCTGAAAATCTTTTAGTTAGGAAAATTCAATCTGAGAGACTACTTCATTTTCTACTTCAGGACAGGACCTGGAGAACTGCAAGATTCCAGACACAGCCATCTCTAGGAGAATCTCCACTGTCAGACACATCTATCAGATGGGCAAATGTTACAGAGAAAGAGAAGCCACCAGGGGCCAGGGAGCTAGGAAACATATGCATCCTTACCTTCTCAAATGAGAAATACACCCAATTAGCTCAGTGATCAGGACAGAGGAAACACAGAACCCCAAACAAGTGAGGTCAAGGATCCCCTCCGTCCTGTGTGATACATGTAGGAGGAATGCTGAGGTGCCTAAGCCGGTGGGTGTCAGGCCTCTGAACACCAAGGCTCTCACAGCACCACTTATCTCTCCCATTAATTGTGCACATTCCCACTGTATAAAATGCTCTGAGGCCCAACTTTACTTATAAAAAGAAAATGGTGGTTTTTTTTTTTTAGAAGTATTTTGGAAATGTGCCCAAAGAGCAGATTCCTCCCTACGCTTAAAAAGTCCAAGTCATTATCTCCCACTTTAAACTGAGCAAGACCATGTGATCCAGACCCTCTGTCACCAAATTGCTCTTCCGCATTTACATCAAATGCCTCCTCCAGTTGGAGTTAGGCTATTAGAGCTGCTGCAGTGGAGTAGGAAATAGGGTGACAGAGATGTTCCTGTCACCTCAGACTTGAACTAACTGATGCACGGTGCTACTTCCAATTCATTTTTAAATGATTCCGGGGAAATAGTCCTCCATCTGCAAGGCTGACAGAAGGAACGGCTGCCAGGTCGGGCCGACTCTTCGGCAGTTCCAGCAAATACTGTTAAGAGGCGGAAGTGAGGCAGAGTGGCAATCAGAACCAGAAACCGGCTCTTCTTCTGGGGCAGAGCACTAGATTAGGCCACTCCAAAATGGCTGCCATTAAACAATTTGCCAGGAAGTTCAGACTTGCTTTTAACCTTTCACTGAACCAGTGAGAAATACCCAGCACTTAGAAGCCTATTTCCCTTCTGAGACACCTTTGGAGTTAAAACTGGTGAGCCTTTCCACAGTTCCACTTAAATACGGGCCAGCTGTTTCATTTGAGATGAGTACATGGAATAAGAGTAGAGATAAATGGACTCGTAAGGGACACCGGGGAGACAGACACATGCATGTCTAATCACCGGGGAGACAGACACATGCATGTCTAATCACTGGGGAGACAGACACATGCATGTCTAATCACTGGGGAGACAGACACATGCATGTTCTAATCACTGGGGAGATACATGCATGTTCTAATCACTGGGGAGATACATGCATGTTCTAACCACTGGGGAGACAGACACATGCATGTTCTAACCACTGGGGAGACAGACACATGCATGTTCTAATCACTGGAGAGATACATGCATGTTCTAATCACTGGGGAGATACATGCATGTTCTGATCACTGGGGAGACACATGCATGTTCTAACCACTGGGGAGACAGACACATGCATGTTCTAATCACTGGGGAGACAGACACATGCATGTTCTGATCACTGGGGAGACACATGCATGTTCTAACAAAGAGACACTGGTGACTACTGATGAAAATTAAATTAGCAAAGAGGACGAAGAAGAACTCCACTGTAGTTGGTAAAGGCCCTCATACTAGCATAAGGCTTACAAGTAAGCCTAATATTGCTAACATAAAAATTATGTCTCAAAAATCAGTAAATAAAGATAAATCAATTAAGAGATAGAGTAGCAGTTACAAAAAAGAACTGGAGAAAATAATTTTGGTGGTTTTGTTTGGAGGCAGTCTTGCTCTACAGCCCGTGCTGCCTGAACGTTTGCAGTCCAGGACAGAAAACAGCTCAAAGGTGCTTCATTCTCACATGGAGCTTTTTGGTTTTGAAGAGGAGGCCGGGCTCTTGGGAGAGAAGCAAGCACCATCAGAGGAGAAGCAGGACAGGACCTGAGAACTGGGCAAGGTTCCAGACACAGCTGTCTCCAGGAGAACCTCCACTGCCAGAGACACCCAGTCTAACATCTATCAGATGGGCAAATGTTACAGAGAAAGAGAACCCACCAGTGGTCAGGGAGCTAGGAAGCATCTACATCCTCACCTTCTCAACCTTTCCACACAGCTCCTTAGCAGCACACATCAAAAACATTGAAAAAATCATCCCTTGCTTCAACGCTAACATCTTCAGTCTTTACAACAATTTTCTTCATCAGGAAAAGTGCACTAAGATGTATGCTTAGCAGGTTCATTACAATGCTTAGTAGTGAGATGCTAGTCCCTGTGCGGGGCTGATTGAGTAGACTACAGTATGGAATGGAGTACCACGGAGTCATTAAAAGTGATGAAGATTTATGTACTCTGCTGTGTGAAGAGGGCCCTGTGACTGTTCTGTGAAAAATGATCCAGAGGATAGAGTAGCACATCTGAGTTGGAGCACTTTTTTCCCCCAGATGCTATGGACATGTCCTCTGACAGAGAGGGCAGGTCTGAAAGGAGCCCCACTCTACCAGTGATTACAACTCGGGGTGGGGGGGCAGGGGTGTGGTTAAAAAAACATGAACTATCTTTTAAAAGATATAGGTTCTATACATTTTAAACACATACATATTCATCCATAATTTAGATTCTGGATGTTCCCCAGAGGTCCACATGTTCAAAACTTGGCTCCAGAGTGGTGCTATTAGATGGTGGGAACTTTGGGAAGAGGGCCTTGTTGGGGAGACCCAGGAGATATGCTGGAAAGGGGCATTTGGGATGTGGACTGCCCAGTCTTCCTCTCTGTTCCTTGATTGGTGGTGTGAGCAGTTCTAGTCTACCTCGCATGCCTGCCTCTGCTCTCCATCACTCTACCAGGAGCAGAAAGCAATGGGGCTGCTCAGGCACAGGCTGGGACTTGCAAATCCATGGACTGAATGAATATTTCCCAAAGGAAATGAATGCCTCAGGTACTTTGTTACAGTAACAGGTAGCTGACTGATTAAATATGTAAAGACAAATCCCTCCTTACCCAACAGTTTAAAAAAAAAGGTAATAAAGTTATATCTCCATTTATTCATTAATTTAAAATAAAATCCGAAATAATTTAATTTGCCTCAGCAGAGAACATTTTCATTCCTGGTTTTTTATTACAATTGATGTTTTAGCTCCTATAAAGGCAACAGCTGTAAACTATAAATTCTACCCCACCAGGCATCATGAACACAATCCACACAAGCCATGAGAGAAGCCAGTTTCTCAGAAGAGCAGAAACATCGAGCCCAAGACCTCTGGCCTGGGTGGAGCATCTCCATTAGCCTTTCAGCATGACGGAAGATACGATATAGAAGAGTCTACATAGTCTCACATTCGGTAATGCCGACAAATGGTGACTGCCAGGCCTCTGAGATGACAGCGCCCAGCACAGGGCCACAGGCAGAGCACATGCCCAGCCGCTTCCATAAAGTTACAACTGCAATAACCAAGAAATAGTGGGCCAGCTAACACGTCACCTTCTAAGGAAAAACAAGGACAGTGTAGTCTAGTTATGAGTAAGCTAACCCTCTCCAGAAATCCTCTGACCACCAATTAATACCTACTAAATCATAAAAGGAGACGAATGACAAAGTTAACAAGTCAATGCATGAGGAACATGCCAATAAGTAAATGGAAGTCTGCTTTCTTCCACAAACAGGAAACTACCGCTTAATATTGCATTGTCTCAACTATTTGCTAAGCCACCTGCCCCGCTAACAATCGACTCACACCACCCCAGTGTGCTCAGCGGCTGGATGGCCACGTGCACAGCTGGTTTAGCCAGGTGGCCAGGAACCTACAGGAAAGGTATTTGCGTTTCCTCCTCCCCATGGTAAAACTACTGAGATGAAATATTGCTTCATTAATACTCAAATGATCAATGAATTCACATAGAGCAATCAAGCTGTACTTGCTGACTCAGTACCAAACAGGACATGGGTGCTGAACTTGGAGTGGTTTCCAAGGGCCTCACCTTTAACCTTGGGCAAGGTCAGTGCTTTGGACAGCTAATGCAAAAGCTGTTGTTTTGGGGAATCTCTGATTAAATTCTGCACCACTATATGAGATATAAATGTATTTTTACACCGGAGGTACTATATGAGTTCCCTGTGTAATGAAATTTCATAATAACTATGGGTAAATAAAGTAAAGCAAAGGTATTTTAGGACACGGGAGTTTTAATTAGAGCAATTTAAACATGTCGTCTCTCAGGCCAGCAGAGGGAGCTGTGAGTTAAAACAGGAAATGCAAGAGCTTCAGGCAAAGCTGCCCACAATCGGCCGCCAGATGGCGGGCAAGAGGAACTGGGTCCACAGCAGAGAGCACAATTCAAGGGCACTAGTGGCAATTCCATGGCAGTGCAGTTGGTTGTGATTTACCAGCTTTTAACTAGAATGACCACCTCACCTACATACTGCGTGCAGAGGCCTGGGTTATTCTGCTCATCATCTACTGAGATTGTCATCTTAAGTGGTAGAAAAATGGCTTCCCCAAATGGGGCTAGACACAAATATCCAAGCTCACCACCAGTCTCAGGCCAGCCTCCTGCCTTCACTCAAAACTGTCATGCAGGGAACCTCTCACTGTTTTCTAGGAGCCTGGCCCAGGGTTGTGCCCTTTGCTAGGGCAGTCCTGTGCAGCCAGCTCAGGGTAGCCCCACAAATGAGTTCTGGAGGAATAACAGAGATTAACGGACACTCTGGCCCTGTAAAACAGGCCCTTGTACAGACAGAGGGTTCAGTCTTCGGAGAGGAACTCTGACGAGCCGATGGAACAGATGAGCCCAGGGCCAGTGGGAGAGAGGCCGCTGGCAGTCTCTTTCCCTTAGGACATTAAGACGCAGTGTCAGAGTCCACGTGTTTGCACATTCAGTGATGCTAACTAGAAAACATTTTTTCTCCCTCAATATTCCTTAGGCAATAATCCTCTTATTGGCATCATAAAACAAAGTTGGTCATGTTCTACAAACGAAAATAGCACAGTCTAGCCCATAAAGCCAAATCCTCAGGAGTATAATAACCTACTTTTTGTTGGTCTATGAAAATTTAGATTGATTTCTTATGATGACTCTTATTTTTTCTTTTATTGAAAATACTTTTTCTCCTTATGTAATATATCCTGATTATGGTTTCCTCTCCCTCTACTCCTCCCAGTTCCTCCCTACCTCCCCTCCTATGAGCATCTACTCCCTTTCTGTCTCTCACTAGAAAACAGACAGGCTAAGGGATAGTAATAAAATAAACGGATAAAACAAAAGCTATCGCCACACTGAAGTTGGACAAAACAAATAGAGGGAAAAGAGCCTAAGGGGAGGCACAAGAAACAGACCCACTCATTTGCACATTCAGGAATCGCATAAAAACACTAAACTGGAAGTCATAATACACATGCAAAGTACTAGTAGGGTAAAGGAGATAAGAAAAAATACACATAAATAAAAATAAAGAATATTCAAAAAATGGAAAAGCCCTGACCTGACACAGAGACAAGGAACCTCCAAAGATGCCATGGAGTTCCTTCTCTGTTGGCCATCTACTGCTGGGCATGCAGCCTACCCTTAAGAGTAGTGTGTTTCCCAGTGACTCCCTTGGAGGAAACTAAATTTTCATTTGCAAGTAGTTGTCAACTGGAGATTGCTTCTGGGTCAGGGATGGGGCATGTGTCCACTTCTCCTTTCAGCTCTAGGGCCCCGTGCAGGTCCTGTGCATGCTGCCTCAGTCTCTGCCAATCATGTTGATTCAGGGGGCCTTGTTCTCCTGGTGTCCCCCGTCCTTCTGGCTTTTACACTCTTTCCACCTCCTCTTCCACGGGGATCCCTGAGTCCTGAGGGGAGGGATTTGATGGAGACATCCCATTTAGGGCTGAGTGTTCCAAGGTCTCTCTCTCTGTGTAATGTCTGGCTGTGGGTCTCTGTATTTGTTCCCATCTGCTGCAGGAGGAAGCTTCTCTGATCTATGAGTCTGGCAGAACGTCATTTTATTGCTTTTTGCTTGTTTGTTTTAGATCTTTAGAACTACGGTACTTGGTTTTAGTCTGGGTCCCTGGCCTCTCTAACAGCAGGTTCTTGGTCACCCAGTGTCAGGTGTGGGTTTCATCTCATGGAGTGGGCCTTATGTCAAGTCAGACACTGGCTGGTGACTATTCCCACAGGCTCTGTGTCACCACTGCTCTAGCACATCTTGTGAGCAGATCAGCAACGTAGATCAGATTTGTGGCTAGGCTGGTGTTTACGTTTCTCCTTTGGAAGAGTGCAGAGCACTTTCCTGTACCAAAGATGCTAGCACGTAGGGAGGGGGAAAGGCTCTATGTGGGCACTAGCTCAGCTTCTCCGTGTTCAATGACTGTGTAGATGTCTTCAGCAGTGGGGCCCTGCCTGTGATACCTCTTCCGATCACAGACACTTGAACTCCCTACCTCAACTGTCCCCCGCTGATGCCTACAGCACTATGCACCGGGGACACCAGCTGTCAGCACCGTGTGGCCAATGCAAAGCATCAATGGCTGTCACTTCCACAGGAGCACAAGTGTCCCCAAACAGACCCCATGCTGGTCAGGGAGGTCTCCTGAGCTCCTAGGCAGCTGTGCTTTGTTTTTGGTACAAAGTAATAAAAATAAAATCGTACATATAGATCGTTTGCATTTGGGTGGTGTGAGTGTAGACATCCTGTGCAGTTTCTTTAATACTGACACCACAGTAATATTTCTAAGAATATTAGAAAATTATTTACCCAGTCTGTTATTTGTTCATATATTTCTGTCAACATTCTCCTGCACATTTTTCAGACAGCCACTCTCTTGTTATACTAGTCCAGTTGGAATCAAGGCTTTTAATTCTATCCATATATGGTGAGTCTCAAATTCGTATCTCCCTCGAACCTCATCTTGACTTCCAAACCCGACACACTCTCCGTGTGCAGTGGTTTGGATGAGAGCAGCTCCCGTAGGCACATAGATTTCAATGCTTAGTCAGCAGGGAGTGGAACTCTTCGACAGGATTAGAGGGATTAGGCAGTGTGGCCTTGTTGGAGGAAGTGTGTCACTGGGGTGGGTTTTGAGGTTTCAAGAGCCCATGCCAGCTCCCCCTCCCCTGCCCCGCCCACAGATCAAGATGCAGCTCTCAGCAACTGCTCTAGCACCTGCCTGCATGTGGCCATGCTCCTCACCATGATGATACTGGACTAAGCCTCTGAAACTGTAAGCGAGCCCCCAGTGAAATGCTTTCCTTCATAAGGGTTGCCTTGGTCATGGTGTCTCTTCACAGCAACACAACACTGACTAAGACATCACGCCTACCTGACAGACAGCTCAAGTTCACAAGTCCCATGCTGAGCCCGACTCTACCGACAGCTATTCCCCTCACATTGCCCCTTCCATTTTCCAGGTGCTTAAGCCAATGCTTGCAGAAACCCCTGGGCTTCCCATCCCGTCACACTGCCCCTTCCATTTTCCAGGTGCTCAATCCAATGCTTGCAGAAACCCCTGGGCTTCCCATCCCGTCACACTGCCCCTTCCATTTTCCAGGTGCTCAAGCCAATGCTTGCAGAAACCCCTGGGCTTCCCATCCGGTCACGCACACCCTCTGCCGACTTAAGATTATGAGAAAGCTCTTTTCATCCATGTCACCGATGGCACCTACTGCAAACCACTGTCTACTCCCATCTGCCTGCACAGACTGGTCCAGAGCTTCTCGTTGATTATTTAAGAGAAAGGGAAGAAACCAGTCATTCCTAGTATGTAAGTGTTAGTTCTGGGTGTCGATTTTACACACACACACACACACACACACTTAGAACTTTTCTCTGAAACGTGTATAACATGTTAATAATTTAAAAGTATATGTAAGTATATGGATGTCAAACAATATAGACAGTAGTTCCAATGACTTTATTAAACAGGTAACCCCAATTTATACAGAATGAACATGAGCTCTAAATCAGTGATTAATTATATTTGAAAAACTTAAGTTACTAGCAACAAGAAGTTGCCTCCATCTTGGTAAGAATTTTGTCATATTCTGTGTCATTACTACAGAAGACAGAGACCAAATGATATGCAAATCTGAAAACCAGGAAGTTTAGACAACACAAACAACAGCCAAGTGCCAATCACAAGGCTAGTTACTTACGCTGTGAACTCCTAAAGCTTTCCAGACTGCAAAGCTGATCACGCCGACCCCACACCAGGCATAAAGAGAACCCCAGCCTAGGGCTCGCAGAGCAAGGGAAGATCCACTCTCTGGTAAGGCAGCTGTGGCCATAGTGCCCTGGAATGAACACAGAAAGCTTGGGTAAAACACTCAGTAAATATTCTGGAGGTGTTTGAAGATCACATACTCTCTGTGTAAGCAACCTGACCTTGGAGGACAGCCCAGCCCAAGGTCACATGGCACCTTTGCTACCTCTATAAGCATGTAAGCTCTCTGACTGATGAATATTTGAATATGTAGGGCACTGTGGTCATTATCCTTCCAGAGCAACCTAGAACATTCCATCAAGATTCATTGGCCTTTTCATGAAAACAGCATTAGAGTAATTAGCTAATTTGATGAGGGATAATGGATTTACAACACTGTCTTCCGCCTGGAAAGATTACTTCAATTTACTAAAACTCTTCCCATTTTTAGAGTAGACTTCTGTATATGGCCTAGCGTACTTCCTCGTGCAGGCTTTCCAATGCACATGTGCTATGTCATGGCCGGTCCGCCTGTCCAGACTGGTGGACTCTACGCGCTTGCTGACCGACACTTGGTAGATACCGCAGACCGAAGCGGATTGGATTGTTGAGTCTTTCTTTAGTCCTTTTCCACACTGTGGCAGTTTCTGCAGACTCCACTGCACCGTGACTTTTAACTGGTCCCGATCCCCATTCAGAAGCAAGAGCATCAACCAACAGTACTCTGTTAGGATCAGTTTTCCTTTGCTTTGGTATCAGCTCTTTTTTTTTTTTTTTTTTTTTTTTTTTTTTTTTTTTTTTTTTTTTTTAAAGAAACAGATCAAATAACCATTTCCCCCTGGAAAAAACAGAAATTTTACACACACACACACACACACACACACACACACACACACACACACACTTCAAGGTATACATAAACCCACATTTGTTTTACTAAATCAAATACAAAGATAAACATAGAAAATAACTCAAGATTCCACAGCAGCATTCACAACAGAATCTCAATCCACCTCCGATTTTTAAGAACAGTTATGTGTTTATGTAATATCAGTCACCTAGCCTGTGAGGTGAAAACATTAATTATTGTCTCCATACTTCCAAAAATGAAATTTAGTAGAAGCTTGATGTTGAAGCTTGATCTATCACACGTTTTTTCCTTCTGGGAGAAAATATCAAATGCTATTCACACTCTCTGTTCAAAATGTTCTAGATAATGTCGGCTGACTTCTTGCAGAAAAGATTTAACTCACCAAAAAAAATAATGTTTTATAAGAACATTAAGTATAGCCATGCACACAATCAGTGTGTCTTGTGTGCAGGCATATGTACATGTGTGTGCATTGTGTTCTGGCATGAGTGCATGTATGTATACATACACGTTTTAAAAGCTACATTTCCCTTCATTGCTGTATTTTTTTTTAATTAAAATTAAGGCTTCTGTATTTGGAAGTTGAACTGAACAAATTACAATGTAGTTATTACACTCAGTATTTCCAAAATACAACAGACAGCTTATTTTCTAAATGAAAAATCTGTGTTTATAATACCTCTATACTTGAGACCATGGATATTCCTCCTGGCATTTACCAGAACTCCCCAAGAAAGTGGATTATAAGAACTGACCCACCATTCACATATGTAGGAAGCACCATTAGCAAACTGTCATTTGTCAAAGGGCAACTGTGTAAGGTTCACATTTTTAGCTTATTTCAGTGTACTCCAGGGATTTGTTTTATGTTTTATGTTCACATGGGTTTGTAAGGAATATTCAACATGGGGTAGACGGCCCCATCCATGCAGTGGTGCAGCACAAGCTTGAGGCTCTAAGTTTGGATCTCTGGCATCACATAAACAGCCAGGTACAGATGTGGGCCTGTGAGAATCCCAGCACCGGGAAGGTAGAGACAGGATGATCCCTGGAGTTGCTGGCCGCCAGTATCCAAATCCGTGAGCTCCAGAATCAGGGAAAGAGCATGTCTCAAAAAAAAAAAAATAAGGTAGAGAGAGACTGAGGAAGACATCCAGTGTCTGCTTCTGGCCTCCACACATACTGCCCCTGCCATGTACATACATGAGCATTTACACACACACACACACTCAATCTAGCTATTTTCCCTACATCCTAATCTGACAAATATTTTGATATAGCTACATCACTAAAGTAAATTTTATAATGTGCAATATAATTTTAGTGCTTTTTATTTATCAGAAGTTAAAGCTATGATGCCTGAGGGCCTGCTTTTTTGTCCTACTCATCTACTCATAAAAGGGTTTTAAAATAGCTCAGTTATGTGATGAAGTTCTGCGATGCCATTACTCTAGGTAAGCAAACTCCATGTCTATATACACATCAATTCTGTATTTCCAACAATTCTAACCAAATGAGCACATAACACGCACATATTTTTCACAGATGGCACTTCATTTAGTCTCACAACCATGTTATAAAACCAGTGTGTAAAAAGCACAGGTTTAAAACTAATCTTGGAGGGATGGGGATAGAGCTTGTTGGCAGCATGCCTGCCTAGTATGCTAGCCCTGGGTTCCATTCATAGCACTTACATACTCACAGACACACGTGTCTGTCTGTCTGTCCACAGCACTTACATACTCAGACACACGTGTCTGTCTGTCTCGCCCCTCTCTGTATGTCTTTGTGATGTGTGTGCATTAACAGCTACAAGCAACTTGAGGGGATAATTCTTTTACTTTGTTTCTAGTTTGCATTTTCCCCTTTCTCTTTATTCAAGAAATTACAAAGAAAAATACATGTTCTCTCAAGACTACTCTTTTTCAACTTTTGACTTCCTAGTGTAAGACTCGGCAATTAGAAAATAAAGCACTAAGGGAATGATTATGCCCCTGAAGTAGAAAAAGCATAGGCAGGCCCCAAATGCAAGGCTGGTCATTTGAAAGTCCTTTTGGGTTGCAATTTGAATCTGTTTCCAGGGTAGAGCACAGTTTATTTAAATAAGAGTATTGCTAAAAGTGGTACCATTTATTCCTTAGGGGGGCAAAGAAGGAGAGTACCATGTTGGACCGATTGCTATTAAGCTGCGTGCCCCAGCATCCTGCTGTTTAGTGGGAACAGCATCCGGTGCCTCAGTGGGCTGTGTGTTAAATGAGTGAGGCCCTTGGAAGAGTGGCTAAGACACAACAAGCATTCAGGCGTTAGGGATTAGGACTGGGAATGTGAGAGAGGACCTGCAGGTGGTGACGCACTACACAGCCTAAGTGACATTCTTGAATGGGTGCTCAGAAGGAACTCAGTAACTGCATGCTGTCAGGCGACTGTCTGGTAAGTGGGGGTTTGCAAATTTCAATGTTTCTCTGTATAGGATTTTAACATTTTAGCCACTCTGTGCAATGTTTCCTTATACATGGGCCCCATAGATGTTCAATTATGAGGGCCTTATCAATAGTTAATATGTTAGAAATTAAAACAGAGCCGGGTGGTAGTGGTGCATGCCTTTAATCCCAGCACTCGGGAGACAGAGGCAGGCGGATCTCTGTGAGTTCGAGGCCAGTTTTGTCTACAGAATGAGATCTAGGACAGGCACCAAAACTACAAAGAAACCCTTTCTCAGGAAAAAGAAAGAAAAAAATTAAAACAGAAATTTATATATATAAATTTATTCATTTGAAAATGGCAAATCTATTATATATTGCTATAAATTAATTCTTATATTAAAATAACTGTCTTTCCAAACCAAAAAGAAAAAAAGGCACAGAGGGTTGATGTTTTATGCTTTTGTTAATCTTTTAAATGTCCAGCTTAAACAGTGGCTTTTCATATCTATAATCAATCTTTTGTAAAATGTTTTCTTATATTTTTCATCGATAGCTGAAGTATATGAATAAAACTCTGGCCTCATACAGATGTGCAGTTAGAAAAAGAAGTATTTTATTAGCTTTTCTTCTTTGTACTATACTAGGTGTATTGAACATAAAAAGCCTTCTGAAGGTTGGTTGCCATATGGAGTCTTATTAATGAACATTTTTGCCATTTGTAACATTCAAATCCCTAGTGAATTTTGCACTTTGAACGGACACCATTCCATGCAGAGTGACTATTCAGGAGGAGCTACTAGTTTACTAAATTACACAGATCTTTCAACTGGTGAGCTCAGGTGTTAAACAGTATTTTAAAATCATCACTGAAATCATAACATCTCATCAGCAAAGCTGCTAAGTATTGAGACCCCGTCAAGTTCATGATGGTAGTTATGAGTCTAAGTGTTTTCACTTGAAAGCTTAATATCAGTGGCAACAAAGATTGACAACTGTTCTCCTGAAGAGTCAGGTTTACTTTGTACGTTTAAGGAAATGTCTGCCCATTACCCTACTTCTGGGTAACCAACAGTCTGTCAGCTGTTCCTTCACAAAGACCATACTCCAGGGGAAGACGTGCTGGCTCAGCTTGTAAGGAAGTTGCTTTTTCTACAGAAAAACATCATACTTCACTGTCAGGCAGAGGTGCTTCAGACACATTTCCCACTTCCTCATGTGAAACTTCAAAGTCGGGCATATCCAAGTCTCATATTGAATAAAGTTAATAATTTTAATGCTTCAACAATGACATTTACCTAATGCTGGTTCCTTTTAATTTTGTTTAAAACTACTGCTGAATTACAACGAAGGACTGCAAGGATGGTTTTATACCATTGCTGTCAGGATTATGCCAAAGTACGTAGCGTCCACTTTAGTACTTTACTGTCCACTGCTCTGAACATGGATAGGAAAATAATTGTCTCAAGGGCCGTCAGGATTAAAATTGTTAGACCACAAATGGCAAGTATGATGATACAATCTCAAAACAAAACAAAGCACCAAGCTGTCAATATGTAGAAACAAGACAATTCAATCCCTAGCTCCCATCAGATTCTTAAATAGATCCCTGACCCAAGGTTTAATATAATTATAACTGTGGTTTGGAAATTGAACAAAATTCACTGTTAAATACCAATATCAGTTGGGTCTTAATGACATCTGCCACAAAATAAATTTCTTCTCTAAAAATATTGCATAATATAGAGAGGAAATGACCCCCAAGAGCCACAGAAATGATCTTTCCGTAGCTCTACAAGCCTTTAGAGTATTTAAAGGGAATTGAAAGGCATTTTAGATACAGTCTCTTGTCATTACAGTATCCATAAAGCTTAAGTATGATTATTACAGATAAGTGGGAAGAGAATTGGTTTATGACTTTTCACGTAATATTCTCCCATAGCACACATCAAACTAATTACATAGTTATTTGTGTGAATATCTAATTTTGTCTCTCATAGCAGACACTGAAGTTCCCGGAGGGATAGACATGCTATTGATTTTTGTACCTTTTCCACCTTAATAGCAGAGTGCCTAAAACATAAAAGATCCCAAGTAAACATTTGCTGAAGCGATGAAGTAATGCATAAATCAGCCATATGGATGGGAGGGGGAAAGAGAAAACATTATAAGCAACTACAGATACATATCAAGAACATTTCCCACCAACCAGGGAAAGTAGGTACATGACATCAGACAGCAAATGTACACTTCTGGTAACAGAATAAGGATCTTCTGTCTGAAGTGGGTTATAGCTATTCATCCAATGATTTCTGAGCACACCTATGTGCCAGGGACTTTATGATGACTGAGGTTGAACAACGTCCGGGACAGTTGTTTAAAAAAAAAAAAAAAAGACAAAATTTTCATTCATTTTAAAGAATGTTAACATTTTAACATCTATGAAATATACATACTTCTTGCAACCAGTATCAACAGTTTAAATGATACTGTTTTTCTTTCTAAGCAAGGTCTCTTGTTATCAATAATAAATTACTTAGTCATTCTGTGAGTACAAAAGGCAATGGATACGTTTCTAAAGTGTTTTTTTTTTTTTTTTTTTTTTTTGGTTTTTCGAGACAGGGTTTCTCTGTGCAGCTTTGCGCCTTTTCCTGGAACTCACTTGGTAGCCCAGGCTGGCCTTGAACTCACAGAGATCCGCCTGGCTCTGCCTCCCAAGTGCTGGGATTAAAGGCGTGCGCCACCACCGCCCGGCCACGTTTCTAAAGTTTTGTTCTGTTAATTTTAAGAAAGCACACGAAACAGGTCAAGACTGACATCTAGTATACTTCTTAAATCCATGGGTTTTGTGGGTATATTTTTAAAAACAACGTGAAAGGTCCTTTGTTAAAAACAACGGCAACACTATGAATGGATTTTGGAGTCACAAACCTTATTGAACCATTCAGGGCTTTTCTTTTTAGCTAATGATAATGTTGTAATAAATCCGGCTAGCATTCCCGCTGCTGCTGCAGAACCGAGGAAAATTCCACCTGCCAAGAATTGGGAGAAGGTATTAAAAATAAAGTTTAAACTAAAAAGATTTGCACAAGTAAGTCTCAGATGCTTTTATAATTGCATTCAAAATTTGAAACATCAAGGCTAAGAGGCTCCTGAGAAAACCTGCGTGACCCAATGATCTCTGGTTCCTGGGGACACTCTGAAGCACGGTTCTCCAGGGCTGAGAATGGGTGTTTTCCCTTCCCCCGCCTTCTAGGACAGCAGCGCGAAGTTGCTCCAGAGAAAGAAGAGATAGTGGCAATCAGAAAAGGGCAGGGTGCAAAGAAAATCTATAGAGAGGATGGGTAGATACAGCATGGCCTGGAAACTAGATCTGCCCGCCCCTGCCCAAGGAGACTTCACCTGACGAGTGACGTATGGGCCCTACAGGCTGAGTTCAGGGTAAAGCCCCAAATAGGGCTCTCAGGGCGGAATGAGTTCGAGAACGCCCCATTCCAGCGCAGGGCAACCATACCTTTAATCAGGAAGAGCCGATCGTCTGGGGACGCTGGAGCCTCTAGTGGAGAAGGCTCCCCAGGCCCAGAGCCCGCGGTCTCCATGTTCAAAGTCTCCTCTACCGTGTCCGTTTCCAAAGAAGCCCGAGTGGAAACGCAAGGGAGAGAGAAGACAGGTTCCGCAGCAGTCTTCCCTGTGCAACCCGAAGACGGGTCCGGTTCACCGCGGTACCCCCAATAGTCTCTGTGTCCCCAGCCCAGAGCCGAGGGCGGCGACCTAAAAGCCCACCTCCCTGAGAGGATCACTGGGCTTCTTCAAGGCGAAGACTTGTTGGACTTTAGTATGTTTGTCTACTTGAAAGAATACTCAGCTCCGACTCTAGGAGGCAGTGAGGGGTCACAGATGGAACCGGGAGCCCAATTTCCGCCTGGCTTGGCTCCTGGAGCTCCGTTTACCACGCAGCCTTACACTATATCCAAGGGTTTGGCCCACGCTAACATGCCACGATTCTAAAAGGCAAGCTCCCCGTTTCTTTCTGAGAAACTTCGGAATAGTTGTTACTTCAGATTGAAGTGACGTGCCCAGTCCTGGAAGAGAACCAGTCTGTTAGCTCCAAAGAACACGCCTTCCTGACCATCTGATTTGCCCGCCGGCAGTGGGCGCGCAGGGCTAGCTAACTGAAAGAATGGTACCAGCCCAGACTGCAGAGCCTGGAGGTGTGCTCTCAAGGCTGCCCTGGGGTTGCTGGGAGCCTTAGCCTGCAGGCAGGCCTGATGGTTACAGTCTGGGAGGATGACATGCCAACGGCGATGGATTGAGTAAATGACCATTGAGAGAAGGAGGCCAATGGGAAGTAGCAAATGTTTCCAGTCTCTCAGGGGAAGACAGGAGACTCATGACATCATCTTTTTAAACGAAGCCAGCCCATTTACCTCTATCTTTTTCTCATCACTCTAGGGCATGGGCTTCTTGAGGGTGGAGGTGGGGATCTATACTCATTTTATATTCCCCTGCTCTTAGCGTATTATCTGGTCATGTATAATAAATGGGAGTCAGAAGAATGAGTAAATGAATGTATTGGGTTTTACAGCAGTTAAATGTATCTATTAGCTCAAACCTGCATTCAGATCCTAAAGCACTTCCCATCTGTGTGAAGTTGGTGTTGTACAGCTTCTTCTCGTCACCCCATTTCCCTCGTTTATTAAATATGGAAACAATACCGCAAAGGATTTCTGTGAAAACTGAATGAAGGTGGGTGTGGGTTTTGTACATTCCTCGCAACCACTTGGAAAGCTGATACAAGTGGGTCGTAAGTTCAAATCTATCGTAGGTAATGAAACAAGACCCAGTTTCTTTATTTTGCCCTTTTCTTTCTTTCCTTTTATTTATTTATTTTTTTATTTTTTGAGATGAGGATGTGTGGTGGAGTTAGCATGGTGTCTGGCACAGATAATAAATGTTCTAATTGCTGTGACCATTGATCCAGTAGTTTCTTTCACATTAACCTATGAAAAGTTATAGTTGCTCAATTTCTCCCATGGGAGATTTTATCTCTGAAAGTCTGGGACAGCATGTGGATTCTGATGCTTGCCTGGGTTGAGGACCACTGCTCTGTTTCTGTGTGAGTGGGGTCACATAGAATGTGTTTGGCCTTTGGGTTCCTTATAAGCCCAGTTTTAGAGTCTGGGGTGGCCTGTTCAGAGCAGGCAAATGCTGTGCTAACTTGTTCAAACATGAGAGGACTTACACTTTTTCTTTCCTATCATATAATAGTGACCATGGCTGTTAGCATACCAAGTGCTTCCTAGATGCCTTTGCTATATCTTTGTGAATCCCCATTGGTCGAACCTTTGAACTGTGAGGCCTACTAGGGAGCCCTAACGTCATCAAGAGGTGTGCTCAATAAATCCAGCTTTCACTAATCAAGAGGGACCGTGGGATCCACAGCTTCGCCTTCTTCATATCCTTGTTCCTTTCAAAACAGCATTCAGGTGAGTCCCAGAGCAAGTGCCAGGCCAGCCAGGGCTACACAGAAAGACTTCATCTCGGGGGGGAAAAAAAAGAGTGGTTTTGTTCTGTTACCTGTTCTCATCACGACGTGGATGAGAAAGGACCCTGGCCCAGAGTTGTGTAACCTCTTCATTTGCATGGGTGGGACAGAATCCACCTTATCTGGGCCAGCAGATTATGACTGGAACCTCCAAAGCTGAGCAAAACTAAACCCTTTCTCTTTGTATGTAAACTAGCTCAGGTGTCTGGTTGTGGTGATGGAAAGCTGGCTAGCAAAGTACAGCACGGCACTGAGTGCTTCAAATGGTTTCTTTCATCGAATCCCCTCTAGAAACCCAGGAAGAATAATGCACTCAAGTGCACCCAGCTGTTGAGGGGGCAGAGCCTGGTTTTCAAAGCAGGGTCTTCCTTACCTAATGAACAGGTGCTCTTCACCTGAGCTTAATCACTGGCGTTCCCTGGAAGGGCTTGGTGGTCACAGGCTGCTGGCCCCATCCCAGAGTATCCGAGCCAGTTACGGCCTGAGAACTTGCATGTCTATGAATGGAGAGCCCTTTATGATTTCTTTTTGTATTTTTGCTGTGTCCCACCAAAAGCACAAATGAATTTTATTTTAAGGACTATATTGCTGTTTACCATAAGGACTTGAAGAGACTGGTTTGGAATATTAATTACTTCAACAATGTAAAGATGTGTTACATTTGTTTATGCTGCATTTGTTTAATGTTGTAAAGATGTGTCGCTTTGCCTGCCTAAGGCACCTGATTGGTCTAATAAAGAGATGAACAGCCAATAGCTAGGCAGGAGAGGGATAGATGGGGCAGAGAGAATAAGTAGGAGGAGGAATCTAGGCTCTTGAGGAGAGACGAGAGAGTGAAGGAGAAAGAGAGGGAGTTGCCCAAGGCTAGCCAACCAGGCAGCTGCCAGCCAGGCAGACACATACAGAACAAAAGAAAGGTAAAAAGCCCCGAGGCAAAACATAGATGAGGAGAAACAGGTTAAATTAAGTTGTAAGAGCTTATCTTATGCTGGACGAGCATAAGATAAGGCATTCATACTTGATAATAAGTCTTAGTGTCTTCATTTGGGAGCTGGTTGGTGGTCCAAGAAAGCCTGCTGCAGGAGACTATATTTAAATCTAGGGAACTTGCAGAGTCCTGTGCCCCAGAGCCTGTCTCATTGTGTGAGTGCCTTCAAACCCTGTGTGACCCCAGTCCAGTTTTATAATGATGCTGGCACTGTGTTTGGCTCCGTAACAGCTTTCTGGAGCCTCAGAAGCCCTTAAAGATCAAGGACAGGAATTCCTGGCTCTCTGACTGGGACCACATTCCAGGCATCCCAGTGAGAACACTGAAAGGAAACATTTTTTGAAGATAGTGTTGCCCAAGGTCTTCCGTGTCCACAGCGCACACCATCAGGAACTTCAAGTGCAAGCCGATGGGCTGGTTTTATGAATTTTTAAAATTTATTTTTGTTTTCATTTGATGTATGTATCTATCTGTGTGAGTATATGCTGTGTGCATGTGCATGTGCATGCACACACACACACACACACGTCCAAGGAGGCCCAAAGAGGGTGTGAGATCCCTTGGAGCTGGAGTTACAGGTGGTTGTAAGGTACCTTACATGGGTGCTAGGACCAAACAGGTGCTTTGAAAAGCAACAAGGGCTCTTAAACCCTGAGCCACTCCAGACTCCTGCTGCAACTTGTCTCTGCAGGAAAACAAGAGACAAGCTCCATATAGGTGATTTACAAGTCTCTGGAGCAGTCTCTTGTTGGACGGGAGGCTTTCTCTCTACCCAGCAGGACAGACAGCATTTCCTCAAGGGGGAGGCAGAGGTGGGAGAGTCAAAAGGCACCAAAGTGCACCCTGAAATGCCAGCGTAACTGTTACCTCAACAGATTCTTGATTTCCATTTAGAAGCATCGAATGAGATGGCCTGTAGGAGGAGGATGCTGGGAAAGCGAGTTTATCCACTGTTGTTACTCTGGTGTTAGACTGAGTCAGCTAAAAGTCCACACCAGCAGGGGATCCGACCACATTCTTATCTCAAACTCTTTGGCCCCTGAAGATTCTGTTTCAAATTTCAACAGCTAGAAACCTTTTGGCCTCGCTGTTCCCAGAATTTTGGAAGCCTTAGCTAGGTTCACACCCTGAAACTTCTACTCTTTCCTCTCATCAGTTTTTAAGATACTTATTTGGAGTTTCAGTCATTCTGAGTTTAAAGTCCGAAGCAGAATTATTTTCAAAATCCAAATTGGGACAAGTCAGTTTTAGTGCTGCTTGATGTGAAATACTTGTGGCAGCTCTGGGGCAGAGGTCGCTAAAAGTTATTGCCTAATTAAGGGCACACATAGTGAATAGACCTGCTGGATTTGAGTCACTAACCGAGTTTCCTGTGAAGGAAAGGGGAAATGAGTTTTCTACCTGTAATTACTCGGCTTTCTACCATAATAAGTAAAATACTGACTAAAGCAACATGTTAATGTAGTTACGTAATGTTGGGAAATATTATATCAAGGGATGCACATTGATTTAGAGAGAGGGAAAAAATAAAGGAGATGTGTACTTTAAAATACGTACTACCTTGTATAAAAGACAAATTTTCTGGTTTAAATACAGGTTTCCAGGATAGCTCATCAAACTGGATCCTGGTGAGAACATTCTTGGAAAGCAAGGAGCTGGAAGTATTATGTCATGAGGAGAAAGCCTGACCTGGCTGGTGAGCCCATGTGGCACTCACCTCCCCCTTCTCAGGCGTCTCAGATTCTTTCCAGTATTTGCACCAGTTCCCAGGGCTGTATCTACCTTGCAGTGCACTACCACAATCAATACGGTGCAATATCAGCGGTAAGTACAGCCATAATTCCCCTGGAGTGAGCTGAAGCCAGAAGTTCATTATTCACTTCCGGTATCTCCTTACTTATCTTTCAGAATCCCATTCTGTAACCGTCCCAGATTGACTACTATATCTGTCTTCATCACGGTAAATGAAAGATGCCATTGCAGAGTCTTTCTTTCCATTTTTCTTTATTGCAGAGTGTGTCCTTCCTGGCTCTGTCTGTGAGATCAGCTGTATTGTTACTCTTAATGATCATCCAGGAATCCTCTTGACAACTGTTATAGTTCATAATTCACCAGATAATTTCCTTCAAAAGAGCGATACGTACCATTTCCTTTCACGGCGCTTTCCTACCTCGTGTGAGGATCTGTTGTATGGGACTATCTCCCAAGCCAAACTGCCACCATCTTCAGTTCTACTGAACCCCATCTCAAAAGATCATCACCACTGGGCCTGTGGACTATTTTTAACCTCTCATAGAAGGAGGGAGGAGGGGGAGGCGTGGAATCCTAACCTGAGTATCCAGGTGTAGCTAGAGTTTTCCTGCCTGACCCACAGTCAGGACAAATCTCTCTCACCTGCCAGTCCCACAGCCGCTCAGACCCAACCAAGTAAACACAGAGACTTATATTGCTTACAAACTGTATGGCCGTGGCAGGCTTCTTGCTAACTGTTCTTATATCTTAAATTAATCCATTCCTATAAATCTATACCTTGCCACGTGGCTCGTGGCTTACTGGCATCTTCACATGCTGTTTCTCATCATGGTGGCAGCTGGCAGTGTCTCTCTGACTCAGCCTTCCACTTCCCAGGTTTATTCTCCTCCTTGTCCCGCCTGGCCACTGGCCAATCAGTGATTTATTTATTGACCAATCAGCAACACACTTGACATACAGACCATTCCCGCAGCATCCAGGCATCCCTCCTAACCAGTTGTATGCAATCTTGCCCTAGTTACATGTGGTCTTGGGGGAGGAGATAGATAGAGGATATAGACGGGGAAGAATGAGGGGATGGGATTCCATTGATGCAACCCTGGGGAAGCCATCATCCTTGCTGTGTGGATATTTTAAGGTCCTCTGTGATCCTGCCCAGTAAGCTCACTGGTTCCCAGGGTGAGCTCTGGCGCAGTCAGACCTCTTTGCTGTTAAATATCTATGATCTCAACTACGTGTGTAGCTAAGTGGTTATTGTGTAGATTTTATTTGTATTCATGATTATGTCCTACATGATAGAATAGAGATTATAAACTACAGAAGATACCTGGAATCCTAGCACTTGGGATGTAGAGGCAGGAGGGTCAGGAGGTCAAGGTCACCTTTGGCTGCACAGTGAGTTCAAAGCCAGCTTGGACTACTTACGATCTTGCATCAAAACAAAACAAAGTAAGCTTCTGTCTCGTGTGTGACAAAGGACTCCACTGTTGACACTGACGTTACTTTTCCTACTCAAGGCGTGTGTTTTTCAAGCATCCTTTATGGTCCTAAGTTCCGAGTTTGCTCTGCTGAAGTGCAGAAACACAGGACTTGGCTTGTTGGACCTTACAGAGCCAGGCCTTAGCTTTTTAAGTAGTAGGACTTCCTTAGAACCGCCTTTGTTGATGATATTTGTTGTAACTGAAAGTCTTGTACTTTGGACCTCTGTAAGTAAAGGGTGGTTTGCTCCTGGCTTAAAAAATCCGCTTCAACTCTGAACATCAACGACCACACATGAGGCTAAGGAAGGCCAGGAGATAGGTATGCATATGTACTAAACCTGGTCTGTGTGTGCTCAGAATGCGGAGGACACAGCAGGAGAAGAGCCTGGGTCCTAGAAGTAGGTGTAGCAACTGGGATCTGGGTTAAACACCTAGAAGCAAGTAGGCTTCTCCTGGGGGATAAAGCTCTTGTTAGAGAGTCAAGGCAATCGAGGCTGTCAGCCAAAGTGTTCTTCTGGTGAGATGAAATAGGATTTCTAAATAAATAATGCGGTGGTTTAAAAGAAAATGGCCCCCAAAGGGAGTGGCACTATTAAGAGGTGTGGTCTTGTTGGAGGAAGTGTGTCACTGTGGAGACAGGCTTTGAGGGTTCATATGTGCTCAAGCCACACCCAATGACACAGTACACTTCCTGTTGCCTTCTGTTCAAGATGCAGCCAACACCACGTCTGCCTGCATGCTGCCATGCTCGCCACCATGATAATGGACCGAACCTCTGAACTGTAAGCTGCCACTTCAACTAAATGTTTTCCTTTATAAGAGTTGCCATGGTCATGGTGTCTCTTCACAGCACTAGAAACCCTAACTAAGAGAGATAATATGGTGTCATATATTCAAGGGCAGGGGAGAGAGTTCAGAATCCAAGCAGGACTACTGGTGTCCCATTGGTTCATAGGTAGCAGGTCCCAACCCTAGGCAGAACTGGTGACCTAGAGATGTTAATGCTAGGTATTTGCAAGAGTTAAGATAATTGCAAGATACAAATATAGCTGAAATAGCAAAGCAACCACAAAGAGCTTGGTTCCAAAATCCAGTTATCAGTCTTAGAGAATGGGAACAGAGTCAAACAGATGCTGACATTGGGTCCAAGGCCCAAAGGGAAGCCACGTGAGAAGCACATGCTGATTAAGGCCAGGGTGAAGGCTGGCTCAGCCTCACAAGAGTGGAGGATACAGGAGATGCAGGGGACAGACAGGGCCCTTCCCTGCAGTTGGCCACTTGTTCATCTGCACGAGGGGGCATATGTGGGCCTGAAATCCAGCTTGCATTCTGTTCACCAAGCCCTGTGCTCTGGAGCTGGGCTGCATGTGGAAAAGGACACCTTTTCTGATTCACAAGACATTAACTCTTGGGCCAGTATTGGCTTTGGGGGAGTGCTAAATTTGTATTCCAGGGCTAGAAGCTTATTATAAAGTCAACTGTTAGGGTTTATCACTGTGATCATTGTGTCCTATACCTCAAATGTATTTTCATTCTCTGTCTGTCTATCTATCTATCTATCTCTCAAGATTCCACAGTGTTCATTCTAGAGGCTCAGAAGCAAATGTTGAATTAAAGAATCTACTCACTGGGTCTTAGTGGTTTGTACACAATGTCTCTTCTCAAGCTACTTGAATTTTTATTATTTGGGTGGGGGACATAATGTAGCCTTTGGGTAGTTTTTTTTTTTATTAATTTTGGCTCACCAGGCATCCTCTGCATTAGCAGAGAAGTGTCTACAATGACTTCCACTGGGGCTGCATGCTCCCAGTCTAGCAATGCTTGGTTGCATTTGGGCTCCCCGGATTTACTCTTGCTTGTGGAGTGATACCCCCTAGAATATGATGATACAGCCTCACAGAATATTTCAGTCCACCATAAATTACATGCCAGCCAGACACTGGTGTTTTATTTAGGTCAACTGTGCAGGGCCCAATGCCTTTTTAAAAAAAAAAATACATTTGAAGCATTTGATGGATTCATTGCTGAGTGCACTATAAATAAATGCAACCTCAAATTCTAGACAGTGAAAATGATGTGTGAGGGGCTACATCAGAGCCAGCTCTGTGAACAATGACCCTTTCAAGGTGATAGGGGAAAAAAAACCCTGAATTGGTTGTTGGGAATCCAAGGTCAAGTCCACAGCCCTGCCCGTGACAGGGATCTGCCTGTCCCCATGTCTCTCAGTATGTGTTCTCTTTTCTTCCTCTGTAATTTGGGGGAAATCATATAGCTGACAGCGCTTGCCAAGTATCTTTTGGCATCATGCCAGTTCCTGAAGTTGCCATGTGTTACCTGAAACACACACACACACACACACACACACACACACTCTCTCTCTCTCTCTCTCTCTCTCTCTCTCACACTCACCCACTTCCCTCTACACCTCACAATATTTCCTAATCAAGTAAGTCTGACATACAAAATCTAACAGATTTCTTACCCAGGGCTTCTCAGAACCTTCAGGGGGAGGATATAGGAAGCCACAATCATGTCATTAGACCGTAGAAACCTTGGTTCAGGGGCATCTCATGGCCTCATGTATCCTTGTGTGTAGTCCCAGAAAATACAAAACTAGTTGATGGCTAGGATTCCTCGAAGTCCCCAACCTCCATGACATATTTCTCTTTTACGAGAGAGAGAGAGAGAGAGAGAGAGAGAGAGAGAGAGAGAGAGAGAGAGAGCTCACCCCCCACTTCTCTCCCTCTTATAGCTTCTGCCACGTCTAATATTCAGAGATGTCATCATTCTGCAGTTTTGTTTTTTTTTTTGGGCCAGGAAGGTGGTGGGAATAGCAAAGGCCCGATTTCATGAAGGGGCTGAAAACTGTTCTTCTAACTTACAAATACTGTCTCTCTTTCCCATATCAAGTCTTTGAGATTTTAGTTTAGAGCTATTCAGATTCTAAGGGAAGATCAAGTTTTATAGGGGGGATGGCCAGGCAAAATAATCTACTCCATTCCTATCAATTAGGAACAAAAATGCAGTCCCCAAAGCATGTTCTAAATAGTGGCATTGAGAAGCCAAAATAGGCTGATGCACGGTAGAATTAGATGGCCTATTTCAAGCCCTGCTGTTATGTTTATCCTTATTTGGCTGCTTCTTCCAGAGTTGCAAGACTATGGTAATGAGAATGACCTTGGATCCTGCAGCTGATCATCTCAAATCCAGGAAAGATTGTGCTTTAATTCCTTTAATCAAAAACGTAGCCACAGGCCCATCATGCTTTGGGGAGGTACGTGCTTCTATCTTGTACCTCGCCTGAATTCCCCAAGTGTTCTTTCTACCCTGTGATGGAAGCAGTGCACTATGTTAAATCCAACCACATCCTCAGCTTCTGAGGAAAACAACCGGAGGCAGCTTCAGGTACAGAGGTCCTCGGGTCTCATCACACGTGACCCACTTGCCCTGGACAAAGCAAATTGATCAAAGTCACCACCAGACCCAAAGGCAGTCCCCTGTAACCCAGCAACTCCCCCCAATGGCAACTATGTGCTTTGGGGACCCGTTAGATCTGTAATGTAATATCCTGGCTGTGCCTTCTGTCCTGCAGGTCTATCTGCTCATCTCTCTCTGAGCGCTTCTGCAGTTGTCCTATGTGGGCTCCTGCTCAGATCTGCTTTCTCTGCTGGGGTGGTTTGCATAGGCACGGACCCCATAGACTCATGTGTTTGAGTGCTTGACCCACAGGGAGTGGTGTTATGACGAGGTGTGGCCTTGTTGGAGGACATGTGTGTCACTATGGGGGGTGGGCTTTGAGGTCTCATATGCTCAAGCTATGCCCAGTGTGGCTCACAGTCTCCTTTTGCCGCCTGTAGATCAAGATGTAGAACTCTCAGCTCCTTCTCCAGTACCACATCTGCCTGCATGCTACCATGCTTCCCACCATGGACTAAACCTCTGAAACTGTAAGCCAGCCCCAATTAAATATTTTCATTTTTAAGAGTTGCCATGGCCATGGTGTCCCTTCACAGCAATAAAGTCATAACTAAGACATTTGATTTCCAAACTTCTATAGTCTTCTCCAGGAATCTCACTGGCCCTCCTGGAATCTTTGCTAGAATGGGGAGACAAACCCTTCCTCCTGTAAATTGAATCATGTGATTGGATCCTTGCATACCCACACTCAGAGCAGGCCCAGGAAAGCAGGCAGTTAACATACCAGCCATGCTACCTGCTTCCCCCATCACACATTCTCTGGAAGCCAAGGTCCTCATGAGGCCATTCAATGGTTGACTCTCATTTCTCGTATCACTTGTGGTTAGTTTGGATGCCTCTGCTCCACACCACACCCTCTAGTCCTTTGGGAATTCCATACCCAGAGTCAGATCTTCAGGTCTTTATTTGGCTCTGTGCACCCTGCTCTACTCTAGGCACAGCACCCAGGATGGACCATGTGATGGACAGGTCTGGCAACACCAGTGTGCAATGGAGTGCAGCAAGTCTGCATTCCATGTAGTACACTTCCTTGCCAACTTTCTTAGCATTATTAGTAAGGCTGCCTTTGAAGCTAGTGAGCACCTGGTTTCAAAGGATGACTTACATGTCATGGAAGGTGACACTTAAGACCATACCACAGTCTCTCTCTTTAGTCGTGGCCATTTCAATCTGTTGATAGGCAACTGGCACCTAGCAAACTGAGACTGGATCGGAACAATAAGTAACTGAATGGATTCAAGTGTATCTGATAGGAAGGCACGCAGGGTATTTCACAGCAGTGGAGGACATTTAAAAAATGTATTATGCAGTTGTCTAATATCTAGGGAAAATTTTGATTTGTTCTTATGGGACAAAGAAGCCATTAAATGGAAGAAAACACAGATATATATTAACCAGAATATATATATCTGGGGAAATTTCTAATCATGAGCACAAATAAATAAATAAATAAATAAATAAATATAGACTAATTTGTCTATATAAAAATCTGGAAAGAGGAGAGAGAACTGATCTTCCAGAAGTGGGATTATAGATAAGTTCCATCATGCCCTGTCTTTGCAGTACTGAGATGAACCTCAGGGCTTTCTGCATGTTAGGCAAGCACTCTATCAAATTTTATTTTTTTAACTGATATTTTTGCAGTGTTGCGGACCAAACAGAAGACTTTATTACATGCTAGGCACATCCTGCCACCATCCCACAACCAAGGCCCAGAGCATGGTGTACTTAAAACCTGAAGGGACTCCTTTACTAAGCTTGAATCATAACTCTTAGCTTAAAGGTGTAGTAAAGCAAGAATAACTAATTTCAGGTTTCTTTCATCAATGACTGATGATACCAAGTTGAACAGACTTAACTCCCTTCAACAATCATTCTCATTTATGTTATAGTTAATTAAAACCCCCTCACCAATGTTAAGCTATAGTTATAAATTTAATACATTCCATTTTCCTTTGAACAACTGCAAATGCCTATCCTAAGGAGCAAAATCATTTCAAGTTCCTAAGCAGCAGTAATAAATCCAATAAACTGAATCTATAAATAATACTGACTCTCAGTTCACTTAAACATTGCAATACTGTTTATAAATTCAATCAAATCTAAATTTAAAATCATACCTAAAATCAATTACTTAATTACACCTTTTAAATGGAATCACAAGGTAGGCTGTCTTTGGTGTGTGTGTGTGTGTGTGTGTGTGTGTGTGCGTGCGTGTGCGTGTGTGCGTGTGCGTGTGCGTGTGCGTGTGTGTGTGTGTGTGTGGTGTATACATGGGTGTGGATGCCAGAGGTCAATACTGGGTGCCTCCTCAGTCTCCCCACCTTATATTTTGAGTCAGGGTCTCTCCCTGAACCCAGAGTCACTGACTCAGCTAGGTAATCTGGCCAGTGAGCCCTCCTACGTGTCTTTGTATTGCCACCGTCATCATATCCTCCAGTCGATGTCTTCCCAGCACTGGGATGACAGGTGCTCTTACACAGATGCTAAGGATGTGACATAAAATCCAAGTACACTTAGATTGTCTCAGAAATTGCAAATGTCTTTTTTTAAATTTACTTATCATTTATTTTATGTGCATTGGTATTTTGCCATGGGTGTCAGATCCTCCGGAGCTGGAGTTACAGACAGCTTGAGCTGCCATGTGGGTGCTGGGAATTGAACCCAGGTCTTCTGAAGAACAGTCAGTGCTTTTAACCACTGAGCCATCTCTCTAGCCCTGTAAGTGTCTTCTTGAACTTTACATAAGAGTATGAACATTTAGGACTTCCTCAGCCCCACTTCTAATTCTAAACTCTTACAGAGCTAGAAATACTGTCCATCCCTGGAGGGAACAACCTCATCACCCTCCAACAACCTGGATTATCTTCTCCAAGAGGTCAAGGGAGTGCAAGGCCAGTCTAGTGTACATGAGCCCCAGTCTCAGACAACCCATCAATCAAAATTGACCTGTGTTTCCTCCTCCACACTTTCCTTCAGCCTGTCCCCAAGAGGGCGCTGTTCTCTCTGAGATTAGCTGTGGGGAGCTGCTCAGAAGTCACTGCCTCATCCTAGAAGACATGCTGCCACTTACAAGGTCAAAAGGAACGTTGGCTTTGCATCTGGGTACCATTCACCACAAGAAATTCACACACACACACACAGAGAGAGAGAGAGAGAGAGAGAGAGAGAGAGA